GAGCGAGTCTAAAGAGAGACAAAGGATTTAGCAGAAAAGAGAGTGGTAGGGAGCGAGAGAATGGGGAAAGAACAATTTGCATGCGACCAACTTAATCAACACCTCGTGAACCGTTGGGCAATGACCAGCAGATCCTCCAGTGTGATAAGAGAACAGATTTCGAGCTTTCTTCTTACATTTAAAACAAGGAGATACCAAATTTTTTCGTCGTGTGAAAAATGTCTCAATTTATTTCGCCTGTGTGTAATTATTCTCCCATTTTTGTTTCGCAGAGAGTTCACAGGAGATTGTAATTCAGGAGTTGAAAGTGCCACGTGTCGTTGAGGCTGGTGACAATACTTCTGTGATTCTCGACTGCGTCTATGATTTGCAGAACACATCGACAAACGGTCTGGTTGTCAAATGGTTCGTGAATGATACTACACTTCTGTACCAATGGATTTACGGAATTCCACCGGTAGTCGATGAGCAGGACAATCACATCGAAGTCGGATACAAAGCCACTGATGATCCAACTACCATGTATCGAGCTATGAAAATCAACAATCTCAATATCAATCATACGGGGGATTACAAGTGCAACGTGTTCACTTATTTCGATGACGCGAGCCGGGAAACACCGATGATTGTCTACTGTAAGTGAAGGTTGAATAAAAAATCACGAGTTGAGGATTTTCGGATTTTCGAGAGGAACATTTCTGATACTCTGTTTTTTCATTTCCTTTATTCCAAAATTGAGAGTTCATACCGGAAATGTCAAACAAGTTGTGAATTATTTCGAACACGTACGTAAGTATTCAACATTCTGGCCGATTACCGATCTCATATTTGCGGACATTTTCGATCGTAATTTAAGACCGATCCTTTTAGAGTGTAGATGTCATAAAACGTGGACAAATAATTGAAGTTCAACATTTCATTTTCGGGTTCACTACAATACCTTCCTCCCTTCGGGTTGGGAAGTTAAAAATACTCAACTTTTTCTAGAGATTAAGGACTTGAAACCACAATGGGGGCTATGTTTACCTCGGAATCCAGGATTTTTCTCGTGGAAAGAATTGAAAGACGGATTTCAAATCTCGTAAAAGTTTCGTGAAAGCGCGATGAATCTTTAGAAAACGTGCATCACCCAAGATGTGAAGTAAAAAGAGAGGGAGGACAAAGATGGAGGGAGAGGAAGTGAAATATATAGGAGTGAAATAAAAGTTTTTGAGTGCACACGATACCGATAAATTCATAGAAACATTTTATAGCTTTTGCGTTTTACCATTCATTCGTTTATTCCTTTTCATATCACTCTTATCCTTGTTTTTCTTAGCTGCGGAGGAAACATTTGATTTGAAGTATGAAAAAAACGAGGGAGAGAGTGGAGAAGGAGTTGAAGTGACGTGCAGCGCCGAGGGACTGTATCCTGAGCCGACTCTGGAAATATCCGTCAAGTAAGATTCGTCATATTCACTGATATCATTTTTATTTCTTCTGCAAGAGCGACTGTTTCGCTTCTCCGAATGTATTCGATCTGGATTGCAGAATAACATGGGAATAACCGTAGACAAATAAATAGAAAAATATTGACCATATTCTCCATTTCCATTGAAGATGAGACGTCGGAGAAGAATAAACATTAATTACTTCCATTCCCGTTATATCAACATCTATCGCCAATGTTTATTTTATTTCATCAGTCCTTTTCCATTCGCATGCAGTACCAACGAATCCATCGAGTGATAACAAACATGACGTTTATCGGATATTTTCTTGTTCCAGTGATGTTGTTGTCAACCGAACTGAGGAACTCGATGCAGTACATCGGGATGATGGGAAATACAACATTACAGCTATATTAATTGCAGAGGATGAGGATTTACCGAGTCAAACAGTTGTTAAATGCACCCTGAGTATACCAAAAGCCAATTATACTAATTGGAGATTCATTACATTTTCATCAGGTAAATACGATTTATAACTCATATCTCATTCATTTGAATAGTGAGAATAGCTTCGAAATGTTCGCCGGAAGCAAGGGATTTATAAATAATAGATTTACGCTCTTGATGCTACATTGGTAATTCAACGATCTCTTCAATTCTTCTCATAAGTGAAAACTTAGTTAAAGATGGGTATTCGCATAAAAGCGTCCATTCGTGGGAATAAAATTCCAAAAATTTAATTAACCGGGAGATTTTAACTCGTATTGTCGACTGAAAATGTAATTCTGAATCTTTTCATGAGGATCACTCAGGAATGTGGGAATGTAAGGATGTCATTTTTAATGTCAGAGTTATTTTGCCAAATGTTTTATCTGAATTGCCTGTGTTGAATCTCGGAATCTTTTATCCAGTAACATTGCTAAATTGGTAACTAAGTGATCCATTTATTTCTGCATAAGTAGAAATCCCGTTATAGATGGATGGACGTATAAAAACCTTCATTCCTGGAGATTTCCATTTAGCCAAGTCAAATAACGGGGTGGCGTAACCCGGATTGTCAAACTGGAATTCTGAATCTTGTCACGATGATCATTTTGGGATGCATGTCAGAGGTTTCTTTGGTTCAAGTTATGTCATCGAATACACTGCGAGGTGATTGACCAGGGTCCGGATTGCAAAAATAATCGAAGAATTTTCAGTATAAAGATACAAAGTTAAATATAACGACGTTGAGAGATTTTTGCAGTGTAAATTTAGCAGACCACAGTGCTCGAAATTTTCACTGGAATTTTATATGTCGACTCGTGGGAAATTCTATAAAATGGCTACATTTACTGACAATTCTATGATCTCTTAATTGCTCTGCAAACCAGTTATAGATGGACAGCCGTATAAAAGCGTCCATCCATGGCGATACCATTTAGGAAATTTTATTAACCAGACAGGTGTAGCTGGGATTGTCAATTATAAATTTCATCCTGAATCTTGTTACGATGATTCTTTTTTGATATATGTCCGAGGTATTTTTAGTACAAGTTGGGTCATCGAATATACTGCGGGGTAATCGACCAGGATCCGAAAGCCAGAAATAATCAAAGAAATTTCATTTTACCAATCAATTTCAGTATAAAAGTACCATATAACGAAGTTGGCAGATTTTTGCAGTGTAAAATTACCAGGCCACAGAGCTCGAAATTTTCGTTTGAATTTTCTGTGTCGACTGCCGGGAAATTTTATCAAATGACTACCTGGTAAATCGATGATCTCTTTATTGCTCTGCATTAGTAGAAACCCAGTTATTGATGGACATCCGTATAAAACCGTCCGTCGATAGTGATACCATTTAGGTAATTTGATTGATCGGGCAAGTGTAACTGGGATTGTCAATTGGAAATTTCATCCTCAATTTTGTCATGATCCTTTTCGTATGTATGCCAAAGGTATTTTTAGTGCACGGAGAGAAATATTCAGCAAAAATTACGGAACAATTCACGTAATCCGCAATGGGGAATCGTTTTCCGGAAATTTTTATGGGAATGGAAGAGCAGAAATCTGAAACGTTCAGTGTAGATATTTAAATTCTTGTGAGATGAATCATTTGTAGAATGAGCTTAAGTTTTGAGATTAAAGAAATGTCTTTATATTGAATCACTGAAGTTTTTCTATTGAAAAAAAATGAAATTGATGATCAGTTGGGATGAAAATTAATTGATACACAGACACACACCGATATTGTTCATATTGTTAACGTTTATTTGACATGAATTCACTTAAGTGGACAAGATTTTATACAATCAAATCGTTTTGGAAAGATGAGAAGAGCCTTACGCTTGCTCTATAGTGAATAATCTTTCATAATGAATTATTGATCAAAACATTGTTAAATTGATATTCATTTTTTCTTATAACTGCAAAATTATTCGATGATTTTATGGGAAAGCACTTGAGTATTTCACTGGGTGGAGATGAGTTTTAACGAACTGGTGTTAATGTCGCTCGACGATTTGGGTTTCTCGCTTGGGGGTCAGACGAGTACTGACTGGTTTTCACCCTTGAACGAACTGAGCGCGTCCTTTAGGGCTGTCTTGGATAGGAGAGCCACATTGTTTGGGCATTTCAGGTATTGGATAGAGTCCTCTGGTGGGACGAAGGAAGTATGTGCTGCAATTCGCCTTTTAGTGTGAACCCGGAAATACTTAAATGTCACAATTCTTATAATATTTCAACGTTCAAGGTAACAATTTTCGAGATTTCATTGAACCATTGATTTGATGCCGAAAATGTGGATATGATTGGCTATTTCTCTGGTTGGCGACGTAACATTCAGTGAATTCTCAGGTTCATCACCGAAGAAAGTACGAAATTTCATGCTGCTTAAAATTCTGGAACTGACTTTTCGAGGAAACCTGAAATTTCATGTTCTTTCCCCATAAATCGCATTCAGTGCCACTGTCCTGAAAATTAGTAGTCAACTGTCCATGAAATTTCATTTTTTTTCTAACATTACCGTTCAGACAATTCTATTAAGTAGGAAGGTCGTTACTGTCAGCCGGAAATAGAATTCTAAATCTTGTCATGATGAGCATTTTGGAATGCGCGACAGGAGTATTTGAGCAGGCGCGTAAAAGATGGTGTGCTTAAATCCTTTCATGAGTCATACATGTTATATCGCTTAATGAACCCCCTCCTTTCATGCTTAGTGGTAGTGATACCTGATGGACGTGGTATGTGGTATTTGTTGTGCAGGAACGGCAACCAGTACGCCTAGTGTAACAACCGATCTGCTGAGAAAAATGGACATCCAGGCGATAAACAACTCTGAGAGAAATAGTAACAATGGTGGTGGTAAGGATTAGTCGTTACAATTTTTATCATCTTCCAACACTTTTTATCTCTATCCTTTGCAACCAAACTCATCGCACATCTCCATGTCCACCCATCATTCGTGTGTTCCAGTGGAATTTTATTCTCTCTGTTCTGTCTCTACTTGTTTCCTCAACATGACAAAATTCTCTCCCTTCCTATTATTAGAGAATCTATTGAATTATGGAAATTCATTTGCATCGTGTTATAAAGGGACAAAAAATTCAAAACATGGTATAAAAAAACCTAAAACACAGAAAAGAGTAAGCACCACCATTGCCACAGCACCACTACGCCACCGGGTATTTCCATAAAATTACTATTTGTGCTTTTTCCCTTTGCCGTAAGAAAAACCAACAAAATAAAAATGCAAGCACACCTGACGAAATGTGATGCTCGTTTCCTGGGTTTAAGCCTGTTGTTTGCCATTTCTTTTCCAACTCACCCTGTGGCACATCCATTGCTGTGTAAGGCATGGGCTTGATGCCTGCTGGCTCATTGTTTATTTTCACCAGTGCTTTTTTCGTTGTAGCTGTGCATGCTCACTGTTTTTTTCTCTAATGTCCCAGAATTTCGCGCAAGTTCCATAATCATATAGAGTGAAGGACTATTATCTCACTAATCATTAATCATAAACTAATCATTGGATGAAAGGATGATGCTTCCATTGTTACATTTAGTTGAGTAAATTCTCGTATTTCTGTGGCGCAGAAAGAACAATTTGAAATTTGAAATTTTATTGAATTTTTCGTGAAATTTGAAATTTCATGTCAATGTAATGTCATGAAACTCTACGCTGAGAGAAAAATTTCTTAATATGTAGATTATATGTGGACGTCCACATGAAAACGGACCACTTTGTCGATTTTAGTTTCCGAGATATGTACGTTTTTGTTTCCGCAACTTGCATTTACAACTATCTTGAATTGTTTTTTATGAGGATCATTCTGGGCTCAAAATGTGCGAAATGTTGTAATTATTATCATTATTATCGTTCTCGGGTTACGTGAGTTGAGATGCCTGGGAGCATTAAGCGATTGAAAGAAAATTACTTGTCTCAAGTAAATATGTTTCAGTTTTTAGAAATCTTTTTTCTCAGTGCAGGAACAATTTTCTACTTTTCTAGTCAAGATTCTAAATACAAAGTTGATATTTCTCCTTAGACAGACAATATTGTCACACCCTCTGCAAAAACAAATTTATCAATTTCCCACACCTGTTGTAGACATTTTTCAAACACTAAAAAACGTCTGAATATATTTGTCTGAATTTCAAACATGAATTAACATGTTTAGGCACCTGTTCGTCTGAAATTCAGACAAATTTTCGTATTATTCAGACGTTTTTTAGTGTCTGAAAAATGTCTACAAAAGGCGTGCGAAATTCAGACATTTGTCTTACAATTTTTTGGAGATATCCTATTCAAGTCGACGAAAACTCCTTGAAATGAGTAGATTCTCGACCTAATTCAATCCTACTCGTGTCAAGTCGTGACTCCCAACTGATTGATCAATTTTTTTCGCTGAATTTTTTTCGCTGAGCGAGAACGAGTTCGAAACGAGGTGTCAAGCGATTCCGGTAAATTATCGATGAGCAAACGAAGTTGAGCAAGCGTAAGAACCGCAGTGAACAAGACAGTGTGGTGTTCAGTGTAAAAAAGCGAAGTAAAATAATAAAGAAAAAGTCTCCAACACACGGTGGGTAGAGCCATGAGCCGCTTAGCTGTGGCACGGAAAACACCAAGAGGCTCCCTTCATGCACGGGACTTGAGATTATACGATCGTTCCCCTTTTATTCCACCTCTCGGGATGAAACTCAACTCAACTCACCCCCTCCCCCCCTCTTACTCCACCCGCCCCCCGCCCCGCCGTACGGTACTCCGGAGCTCATGAAACGGGAAGACACAAGGCGCGGGTGGCTGCGCCGCAGTTACAGTATTTCATAGTCAGAAACGACAGTAGACCTGGGCTCTTGACCCGATACCATGGGTAAGAGACCTCATAAGGCCGCAAGAGAGAGTGTCGCCATTTTCAGAGAAAATAACGGGAGATAAAAAGAATTTCAGGCTTGGGGGAGAGTGTTGATGGTGGTACACGAAGCCATCGCCTCAATTTCGTCATTCAAAATGCATTGGGAAAAAAAAAAGCTCAAGTGAGATGGGAGAATGTGCTTGCATATCAGAGATTGCACGAGAAAACATTTTGCGCAGAGTACCGGGCTCCTTTTTAGCATACCGTAAAATATTCGGGAATAAAGTTTCCTATATTGCTCTATACTTAGGAATATACTCTCGTGAGGATGAGGTAAATGCAGTGGAGGAAGAGATTTCAATGTTGGATTCGAGATTTAACGTTATGTATGGGACGGTCTCAACAGCATATCCTCAAACCTATCTATCTTGGGGGAGTTCAAGGGGAAAGACGGAGGGCAATGCGCGCCATCCGTGTCGCTTGTGGAAGTTGTTTCAAGCGAGCCCGGTAATATGTATAAGGCCGTATTAACACATACCCAACTTTGGCTATTTATTAGTCTGGCATGGTAATGCCATCTGATGAGCTTGAAGATTGAGTGTCTCCAGTTTATGAGTACAAGCGTGCACCGTGAGTCTGTAAATAAGTCATCTGGGCTTGAGCATTACGCGCATGAGATAATAAATCAGTCGATGGGATATTAAATGAGTGAGAGGGGGTATATCTGGGGAAATTTTACGGAATCTAATTACCAATTAGTTATTGTGCTGTGGACTGGATAATTTTCGGAAAAAAATGACTTGGATTGTGCTCAATTTATTGATTCCGGATGGAAGCTTTGTAATCGCACAAATTTAAGCTTCCAATTTTTTGTGTTAGGGTGACTGAATATGGTCTAAGAAGACCGAATATGAGATTTTTAGATAGTGTCGGTATCTATGCTGTGGTCTTTTTCCTTCATTTTTTTCTCGACATTCTCTTATGAGGAACCAATCGAATATCATGAAATTTTTCAGTAATAATACCCCAAGAGCTTCAAAATTATCGGGTATTTCCCGATAGCTTTGTGGCAAACAAATGAAGGTGGTAAGTGTTGCAGGTAAAAAATCCTGAGCGCTTGCGCGAGGGATTTTTCTGCACAACTTGGCACGATCGTTTGTTTGCAGGCACACGGAGAGAAATAACAATCAGTAACAATTACGGAACTCACAGTTCACTCATCGATTACGGAATCGATTAGGAAAATTTAAGTATTTATTTATAGAATGCCATGTATAGCCTACTCGGCCTTTTACATCCAGAAAATTTAAGTAACGGTATCTAATTTTTCACAGGCGATTCAGATAAAAATTACGGAACGCTCTGGAAAAGCACACAATACGATTATGAGCTTTTTATACCAAAAAATCTCTATCTCAATCCGTACTGATTCATCGTCTCGACTAAGTTCTGACACCCTGGGTTAAAATCTGGAGAAATATTTGACAAAAGAAAATAATAGGCAAAATTTTGACGAAGAAAAAGAAGAGAATAGTAAAATAATAATTGAAAAAAAGAAAATAAAATCCATTCGGAAGCAAATTGTTAATTTATTAGCAACAATTACCGTACTCATTTATTTAAAAAATGCCTTTCTCCACTTGTTTTGCTTTACTCGTTGCATTTATATTACACACTTTCAGTTGAGAAAATTTCCCTCCTTAGTTATCTGTTGAATAATCTCTTATAATCTTTCGCAAGCCAAATGGCCAATTACACATTGAAAATTCTCAAGAATACTTGTTGTATAATGGTTAGAGAGTAGAAATGTTCAATTTAGTTTATCAGATAATGAGCTTTTACGGCATCACTGAGTACACTTTTATGAAATAAAATGAAGTTGATAAAAGTGGTGGAATGCTTCAATATCGCGGTAATATCGTAATAGTAACCGCGAGTATATGATGGCGGCGGAGGGAGGGGTCAAGGGAAGAGGCGTCGTGAGGGGGATTATTTACAAGTATATGTGAAATGAGGAAACCGTACAGGGAGGGCTTTCGGTGATATCAAGTCAGCGGTTTTGATATCACAGGGGGCACCCAGGGCTTATTAATTTTGACGATACATGAACTAAGATTACAAGAGTGTCTGGGCATTTGTCTTCCTAGTGTTGGAAATGAATTAACAAGCAATTTTCCACCGAGGAAAATGAGCTTGAGAATAGTTGTACAGTAATCAGTATTATATGTATGAGGGCCATTTAGTTTTCTCCGTAATCAAGTCAAGGTTATATATTTAACAAGGAGGGAAAAAAAGACCATAGAACATTCAACGAGGGAGTTGAGCTCTCTCGGGATGGTTACGTATTGTCACTAGAGCGAAAATCATCGTCCTGGAATAAGGCGCTGAAATGTAAGAAGTAATTAAACCGGAACGCGCTGGAGAGTTAATACATTTGAAATTAATTCGAGTACTGTTTAAAACTGCGTAATGCATTTTCCCTTCAGTTCAACTCCCCTCCTTTCGCTCAACCACCGTCTCACTCACATTCTTATTTGCTATCTACCTATCTCCGTTCAACTCCACCATGGGACTTGAAGTTTCTCGGGGATGGCTTGCCCCCCCGAGTAAATTGCCGCGTCGTATTTCTTCCCTCTCCCCCACGAAAACCTCTCATCCCCTCTCTCGTGTCTGTTAAAATTTCTTGTTTTCTTTCGCGATTTCTCTTCCTCAGTGTGTACTTACTCTCAAGCGTTGTTCCATATATATACTGTACTATCAACAAACCATCAAAAATTGTTTTCTCTGCTGTTTGGGTATTTTTTTCCCCTTGATGCACTCTATTTCGAGAGAATAAGGTGGAATTTTGCACGAGACGAGAGAAGACGATATTTTGCGGAATCTCGTCTCGACATCTTTTTCGGAGAATATATATGCTGGTTTCGGTCTCGAAAACAGTGAGATTTCATTATTTATTGTTACCTTTGATCTCATTCGTCCATAAAATATAAACTCATAATATCTCCAAATATT